ACCACACCTGGCTAATTTTTCCTGTTTTTGGTAGAGATGGGGTCTCACTCTTGCTCAGGCTGGTCTGGAACTCCTGAATTCAAGCAATCCTCCCACCTTGGCCTCCTGGAGTGCTAGGATTACAGGCGTGAGCCACCGTGCCTGGCCACTTTTCTTCTTTGTTGCTTGCCAGAATCACAAGAAAGGAAAGCATTTTCCTTTTTGATGCTTTCTTGGGGATTGGGGCCTGTCCTAGTTTATACTTTCCTGTTTCCTGGTGGTCTATAAGGGACATGTTAATAGTAGGAAAGTCAAACTGGTATATAGTGAGTTTTAGTTATAGTGTGAGGGGCAAAATATAGTAACTTAGTGTGCTGAAAAACTTTCAGGTGACTACTAATTCCATCAAATTCTGAACTGTTCATTTACTCAACAAATATTTGTTGCATGCCAGTTGCTAGGGGTACTGTGAATAAGATGGATATGGTTACAGTCTGGTGTGTGTGTGTGTGTGTGACACATACAAACTAATTACACACATAATAGCTCCGAGGGAAAAGCACAAGGTGCTTTGAAGCATATAGAGTAGGTGACCCGATCGGATGTGTGATGTCAGAGAAAGCCTACTTGGGAAAATGATGCTTAGGGTGTGGCTTGAAGGGTTAGTGGGCCTTCAGATGTGAAAGGAGATGGTGGAAGGTGAGGAGAATCTTTCAGGCAGTAAGAATAGCAGATGGTGGGAAAGACTACCATGCAAATGGAGAAAATGGAAGAAGACCAGTATGTCTGGAGCATAGTGTGGGAAGGGGAGAGTGGCAACAAATGAGGTTGGAGGGATAGGCAAGGCCTTGTTAATGATTTTATACTTTATTGGCCTAACAGCTTTGAGAAGCCACTGAAGGGATTTATTTAATGGTAAGGGAATGTTCAGATTTGCTTGTCTGCTGGGTGAAAAATGGTTTGCCGGGGCAAGAGTGGTTACAGAGAGAGCAGTTCAAGACTCTTATAGCAATCCAAGAAGAGATGATAATGATCTGGGCCACAGAGGTGGAGTTGTGAAGGGTGAAAAGTTGGATAGAGTCAAGAAATAATTGGTAGATAGAGAATATTCAGGACCTGGTGTGTGTTCTGAATGGGGGAGGCAGGGTGGAGAAGGTGCTAAATGATTTGTGCACGACCAGAAAGATAATGGTGCATTCAGTGAGACAGGGAAGATTAGGAGAGGACCAGTTTGGGGTGGGTAGAAATGATTTAATTTTGGACATCTTATACATGAAATGCTTTTGAGCCATACAAGTGAGAAATATGGTAGGCAGTTAGATACATGATTTGGAACAATCTGGATTGAAGACAATTCTTTTTGAAATTGGTTGTTTAATTTCTGTTGTAGAAAGCTGTCAGAAAATCTGAGTCCGGGCACAGTGGTTCACACCTGTAATCCTAGCACTCTGGGAGGCTGAGGCGGGAGGATCAATTGAGGTCAGGAGTTCGAGACCAGCCTGAGCAAGAGTGAGACCCCGTCTCTACTAAAAATAGAAGAATTAGCTGGGCATGGTGGGATGCACCTGTAGTTCCAGCTCCTTGGGAGGCTGAGGCAGGAGGGTCGCTTGAGCCCAGGAGTTAGAGGTTGCTGTGAGCTAGCCTAATGCCATGGCACTCTAGCCCAGGTAACAGAGCGAGACTGTGTCTCAAAAAAAAAAACCTTCTGAAATAGAGAGTTTAAAGATTTATTACTATGTAAAATTACATTTCTAACAAAGCTTGCAAAGGAAAAGTGCTTATTGCTAGAAGACTTTATATTAGGGGATATGACTTAACTGGGGAGATTAGGGAAGGAAAGACCTTCCTGAAGAAGAGATGCTTGAACTGTGATCCTAAGGGCGAGTAGGAATTCACCAGCTGAAGAGGGGGGAAAGAACATTACAGACAAAAGGAATAGCCTGTGTAAAGGCCCTGTGGCCAGGGTGGGAACAGAAAGAAGAGCGAGGGAAATCCAGTTGCTGGGCACCCCACCTGGGAAGGGGGACTCCTGAGGTCCTGGGTGCAGGGGCGCCTGAGGGTGGAGCGGCCTAATCCCCACCAGCCTCACCAATGGTGGTCGCTCAGTGAAAGTCTGGCGAAATGGCATTAGCCATGGCCCTCTCTGGATGGCTCGCTGTTTTAAAACAGCCCTGCAATTTGGGCTAATCCCTTTGGCTCCCTTGACAACTTTAAAAAAAAAAAAAAAAGTGGTTAGCACATTTTGTTGACATATTGTCATAGGGACCAAGCCGGCATGTCCTCTTAAAAATATTTTAAGAGATTATGTTTTGTTCCCACTTACTTTGAGGAATGACTTAGTCCTGATGGAGTGGGACAGAAACAGTGAAAAGCAAACCGGGATAAGAGAACCATCCTTCCTGTATTCCCCCCACCAAAAAAAAAAA